AGTGGATTTGTTAACTTGATAACTTCCACGGCCAGATGAAGAGACGACTGTGTTTGCAGCTTCAGAGATGAGATGGGATTGTGTTTCAGTGTGGCTGGGAGCTCGTGTTCGTTACAGGAAACAAATGCACGGCGACAAATCACCCCTCAGAGTCATCGGGCAGGAGGTGCTGGTGGGCCACAGACTCCGCCCAGTGCTACCTCCTCAGCCGCACGTGAATGACAAGGCTTGACGCAAACCAGCTCTCTGGAAGCCTCATTAGTAATCATCATCATCGTCATCATCATCATCATCGTCGTCATTGTCATCATCATCATCATCATCGTCATCGTCATCATCATTGTCATCATCGTCATCGTCACCATCATCATCATCATCATCATTATCATCATTGTCATCATCGTCATCGTCATCATCATTGTCATCATCATCATCATCATCATCGTTGTTATTATCGTCATCATCATCATCGTCATCATCATTGTCATCATCGTCATCGTCACCATCATCATTGTCATCATCATCATCATTGTCATCATCGTCATCATCATCGTCATCATTGTCATTGTCATCGTCATCGTTATCATCATTGTCATCATCATCGTCATCATCGTCGTCATCATCATCATCGTCATTGTCATCATCGTCATTGTCATCATCACCATCATCGTCATCATCATCGTTATCATCGTCATCGTCACCATCATCATCATTGTCATCATCATTGTCATCCTTGTCATGTCACCATCATCATCATAGTCGTCATCGTCATCATCATCATGGCAAAATATTCTCTGTTGCCCGTGCTGTGTTTAAATAGGAAAAGCGGAGCGAGTGCGGATCACAAATACAATTCTTCACTTCGTCCTGTGCAAACACCAGATCTGCTCGTCCCCCTGTTTCTGCTCTGCCTCAGCCCCACGCCGTACCTGTCCCCTGCCTCCTCACAATCGGGCCAGTCCCTGCTGTCCTTACGATCTGTCTGCCCGGTGAAGGAGCCTCAGAAGAACACGGAGTAAAACCTACTCGAAAAGTCTCCCGCGGGTTCACTCAGATTCCTCACAGATCCCGAACGCTGGGCTGAGTGTTCTGGCAAAGACATAGATCAACAACGAGAAAAACAGAGAAAGTGATACACACACGTTGCACAGAGGATGGATAGAGAAGGTGTGGTCCATACACATAATGGAATATCACTGAGCCATAAGGACGGATGAAGCTCCGCCATTTGTGACAACGTGGACGGATCTTGAGATGATCGTGCTAAGCGAGGTAAGTCAGACAGAGGAAAAACTGAGAGCCATACGACTTCATTTATATACAGAATACAAACTAAAAGTGACAAACGATCAAGACCAACAGATTCACGGACACGGACTCCAGTACGGTGGAGACCAGGGGGGAAGCGGGGGCAGGAAGGGTAGAGGGCGTCAGACAGATGGTGGCGGAAGAAGGTGCGACTTTGGGTGGTGATCACACAACGCAACATGCAGATGACGTATTATATACTTGAAACCTGTGTAATTTATTAACCGATGTCACCCCAGTAAATTAAATAAAAATCAAAAAAAGGTGGGGGAGAAAAGAAAGCACAAAAAGACAGATCCGCTCTGTAAAACAGAAAACTTGCCACGGTTTTGAAGGAAGCTGTCACCCCTTTCCCAGAGCTGGGACCGTGTAAAAGGTTGGCCCCTGCCACCTGGACCGCAGCCTCCCGACCCTCCAGGGCAGCCTGCTACCCGCGACGCTGACCTTGTGGAGCGGGCCAAGGCTCCGGCCCGTCCAGGGCCCTCTGTGCCGCTTCTTGGGGAAGCTGTGGCATGGGGCCTGGCCTGCCGGCTCTCGCCGCCGGATGTCACCCTTCGTCCACACGGTTTCTCCAAGAGTTTTCTCTGGGGGATCTTCCCCATGCCCCCGCCCTCGTATTGTCTGTGGTGGCAGTGGGAACATGTCACCTCTAAGTCCCCTTCTAGCCTGGGGCCTGGAGGTCAGCAGCACAGTGGCCCAACACCTGTCTGCCACCCTCTCTGAGCTCCGAGCACGAGGAGGGGTGGGCCCCAGGAGCTGGCGTTTTCTGCTCTGACGTTCACATGACACGTGTCGTGGCTCAGCCCTCTCTCTCTCCACCTGGCCACTGTGGTTCTGATCCAGAGAGAAAGCAGGTTTGACGTCATCAGACACAACGGAGGACTGATGACAAATGAAAAACGGCGTCATTCTCAGCGAGGAGCTACTAGCCGTGCGGACCTGCGTCTAATTATATAATATCAAAATCCTGCCACGGAAAACGCAGGGAAGGGTGGCAGGCGACCTGGATGATTCGCACTTGGCCCTCGAGAGGGTGGTATGGCCATCGAAAAGAGTAGAAGACATTTAAATCACATCATTGATCAGGTGCATTACTGATCAGGTTGAATTATGATTATCGATCAACATGGAGTTTGCAATATATATCTATATATATCAAATGAATTATGCACACACGTCCATGTAAACACACAAATGTATAATTCACTGGTACATGCATACATATATGAGTGCATACATACATATATATGTGTGTGCATATCTGTGCGTGTATATCAAACTATACACTCAGGTATCTCTATATATCAAATGAATTATGCACACACGTACATATAAACACACAAAAGTATAATTCACTGGTACATGCATACATATATAAGTGCATACATACGTATATATGTGTGTGGCATATCTGTGCGTGTATATCAAACTATACACTCAGACTATAGAGAATACACCATCATTATTTCAGGTGACCAAGAAAGGACCACACGTTAAGCCGTAAAGTAAAACTCAATACGCCCCGCAAAGTGACAGAAAAATTGAAGAAACATTTCTAAACCCATTCCTGTACAACTACAATCTTATAGCAAAAAAATATCAAATACGAACGCTGGATAGCAAATCCTGGGTTAAAAAGTAAATTCAAACCAATATTACATAACATAAAAAAGATAACAGTGAAAACGCACATGTTGGGTCCTGTGGGGCATCTCATGCCCTAATTTATTATTAGCTCGATGTCAGAACACAGAAGCTTACCATTAAAGGCGGAAATGGGTTAGGATATCAAGTATCGATATTGCCGTTGAACATTGCCATGGCGGGACTAGCTGAAACTTTTAGGAAAAAAATAAGAGATATAGAAACTAGAAATAAAAGAAATAAAGAGGTAAAATTATCTTTGATTTTTTGATCTTCGATATAACCGTTAATATATAACCGTCGTAGACCTGGATGACCCAAGAGAAACGACTGACATAAGCAAGAGAGTTAGATAAAGGGGCTGCGTTAAAAAACGTATATATTTATGAGAAATCTATCGACCTGGACAAAACGGTCAGAAGTAACAGCAATAAGGACAGCACAAAGAATTGCCCTGGATTTAAATAAGAAATCTGTAAGACTTTTATGAGCAAAATTATAAAATGTTATTGAGGGGCTTAAGAGAAGTCTTAAATAAATGAAAAGCCACCGTGACTTCTTATTTGCAACTTATTATTTGCAATTTATTACAAGTAAGAAATACAGGAATTAGATGTCATTTACATGAACCTGTATTCAAGTACCAAGGGCGTTTTTCTTTTCTTTTCCTTTGGAACCAGACACGATGATGCTAGATTTTCAAGAGAAAAGCAGAAAAGGAAAGTAGTTAGAACAATTCTGGATGTGAAGAACCACGTGGGTAGAAAGCTCGGTCAGATAGTAAACTATGTCATAAATATACACTGAATGAAAGCTGGAGGTACTAGTACAGCAATCGAGAAAGTAACAGTAACGATCAAAAAAAGTCCATACGTGGAACACACGATGTGTCAAGCCATTGTGAGTTATTACGGCAACATTTTAAATAAGTGAGGAAAAATAGATTATTCAAAATATGATGTTGACAATTCGTATCTGCCTGGAAAAAACCCAACTGAGTTAGAGCCCTACCCGCATGGCACATATTATTTAAGAATATTTCCATCTCCTCCTGAGTCCCCTTACAAAGTTGCCGTCATTTATTGTTGTCTATTTCATGAAACTACGCAATGCACTGTTAATATCACGGCTTCGAACAAGCGTACATCTACTGGATCGATTAAGAATTGAACAAAATAGAAGATTTTATGTTACCTTCATTTATTCATTCTCCAACGCGTTTCCTGTTCTTTTCGAATGTAGACACAGGTTTTTGATCTACTGTTTTCCTTCACTATGAAGAATTTCTTTTGACATAAATTTTGAAATAAACTTTTTCTGGACACAGAATTCTATTTTTGTGGGGTTTTTTCTTTCAATAGTTTAAATGTGATATGCTGAGTCTCGATTCTTTGTTATTAATCCTGCTTCGTGTTCCCTGAGCTTCCTCGGTCTGTGGTTGGGTGGCTGTCATTAATTCTGGAAAGCTCTTGGCAATTATCATTTCAAACATTTATTCGACTTCATTCCTCCTGGATGCTCTTTGAGGTATTCCATTACGCACGGGTTACATCTTTCAAAAGTGTCCCAAAGTTTTTGGATATTCTGCCTTTTTTTGGTTTCACTTTTTTTCTTTGTATTTCAATTTGAGAAGATTTCTGTTGAGTGTTTTTAAACTCGCGGATTCTTCGTTTGGCTGTGTCCAGTCCACTTATGGACGCATGAAAGGCAGTCTTCATTTCTGTTGCTCTGCGTGTTTATTTCTAGCATTTTCTCCTAATGAATCCTTCGAGTTTTGATCTGTCTTACGTTATTTGTTCTTGCATATTGTTTACTTTTTTCATTAGATTTCTTTAAAAATTATAATTATTTTCGATCCCTTTCTAAACCCCAAATCTGTATCACACGTGATGAGCTTTGTTCTGAGGTTTTCTTCGCTTCAGACTCGATTTGACCCTGCCTTTTAGCACGACTTATACTTTTTTCTTGAAATCTGAACACGACAGGTAATGGGAACTGACATAAGTTGCCTTGAGTATGAGGCTTTATGTTACTCTGGCTAGAAATACCTACTGCTTGCTGCAGGTGTAGGTGTCAGGGGCTTCGAATTCCTCATTTTTCTTGGTTTTGGCTCCCTTGTTGTCTGACTTCTTGTAAGAACATCTTAGATTCTGACCTTTCCGCTGTTGACATAGGGGAGCCCTGTCGATAAGGAGTGCGGGAGGAAATTGTCCTGTATCTTATAATTCAGTCCCAGCGTTTTTTAGCGGGCCCGAGTCCCTAGGTAGTAACCTTCACATAATTTCTTTTAAGTGAGACAGGAAGTCTGAAGGGGGCTGTAGTGGGATAATAATTGTCCTTCTACCTAAATGAGATAACGATTGGGTAAAGTGTTTTCCCCAGGGGAGGAGGTCTTTGTTATGCAGAATGTTCTGGCATATTTTCCTCTCTCCCCACCAAGGCAATAGGGCAATTTTTCTTGGCTCCTCATGGTATTAGCCTGAGGGATAGGTCTGAGACTATAGACCCCAGAAGCTTATGCTCTCAAGCTGTTACCCACTCAGCCTCCAGAAATTCATCGAAATGGCTCTCTAGGGGCCTTATTAGTGTATGGTTCCATGCTTCTTGCGAAATAATCTGCACTGGTTTTCTCTGTATTTACACATATTTCCAGATTTCAAGGAACAATTGTCCTGTGACCTCAGTTTTCTCATGGGTCCAAGAAGAGTTTTTGAATTTCAGTTGGTTCAGCTTTTTTTCTTGTTGTAAATTTGGTTGACTCTCCACCTCGATGTTGGGGCTAAAACTAAAAAGCTCCAAACCCCCATTTCTGCCCAGTGTGCTCCTGGAGCTGGCATCTGCAGTCAGCATCTTGACTCAGGGGTGCCATGATCGATTTTACGTACCGACTTCACTGGGCTGTGGGGCGCTCAGTGGTCAGACATCGTTCTGGGTGTCTCTGCGAGGCGGATCTGGATGAGATAAACGTTTTCATCAGTAGAGGAGAGCAGATTGTCCTCCGTCATGTGAATGGGCCCCGTCTAATCAGTCGAAGGCCTTTTTCTCTAAAAAGACCGACCCTCCACTGAGTCAGAGAATTCTCCAGCAGATTGTCTTCAGACTTCCCGTGAACTGTCAGCTCCCCTGGGTCTTCGGCCTGCCAGGCCCACCCCCACCCACCCACTCAGGATTTGGACTTGCCGGTTTCCGTAACAGTGTGATATGGTGTGATATGCCAGGAGATGCCACGGCTGAGCCACTGGAACTGGGGGTTTATCTGTCATCATAGCTAATGTCAGTTTCTCAGAGAGGCCCAGAGGGATGCATTTCTGAAGACGTGATATTCGATGTCCTGTGTATGTTTGTGTCTGGAAATCTCTCTCTTTATAAGGACACTAGTCATGGAACTGAGGTCTGCCTTATTCCGGTCTGATCTAATTTCAGCTTGATGATATCAGCCAAGACTCTGCTTCTGAATAAGGTCTCATTCATGGGTGCTGCGGATGTGGCTGCAACCAATCTTTTGGGGGGATACAATACGGCCAACGAAAACCGCGGTAATAGCTTTGTAAAATGCTTTGGATGCACGCTGCAGACGAGATGTATGCATACCGACGAGGACATCTTAAAAACACACATCTGAGGGATAAAATAAGAAGCTGAATGGAAATAGACAGCAAAAGCCCATCCATGTGATTTAAAACGTACGCACACAAAACGGGCCTGCGGAGTTCATGACGGCACGTATGTACAAGGAATGCACCAGCCATTAAGATGGGGTTTGTGTTTGGGAGGGGTGAGGTAGAGGATGGGACAAAGTGTATAAAACAGAAGAAAGTCTGTGCCCAGGTGAGCAAGGGGCCTTGATCCGAGATGCCTGGGGAACACCTGTTTGTACCTGACGTCCAAGAAAGGATAATAACCAAATAAACACACGCAAATCATAGAAAACGCACACTTAGCTGGCACTGTGTGTCAGGCACTGTGCTCGCTCTGGCGGGTGTGTAAGAGCCATACGTCAAAATGTTTGACTTAACAGTAAAATGTTTAATTTAACAGTAAAACCACTCTTACCTCGCATGACAGCTTTACTTAGTTGACCCCTTAAATGGCATTTTAGAATGCTACAGTGTTCATCGATGTGAACTTGCCGAAACGTCAATAGTTGGATGGAATGGAATTTGTCATGCGAACCTCTGAGAGTACCTGTGTTTTTGTTGTGCGTGTCCTTGTCACTTTCTTAAAGGAGTAATGCAATGTAGAGGGGAACAATTTTGAAAATTGAGTTTTTCTGGTGTTTCGAAAATGGCCAACGTGCACCTTATTTAAAGCTCGCGCTGTGGATGGACTCGCTTGACAAATCCCCCTGGACGCGGACCGTGTTCTTGATTCTGTGCCCTCGGTGCCGAAAGCTTTATCGGATGTCTGCTCTCCTGCGGTCACTTAAGAAATGATGACAGACGGATTTCCCTCCGGGCCCGAGTCCACCTGAGGTCAAGGCTGCGGATCTCCCAGGCCCGCTGGGCTTGGAAGGCACAAGACAGGAACCACACGCTTATCAAGAAAGAGGTGCAGTGGGTGTGGGTGTTCCTCCCGCCCCCTTGGGGAAGGGATGGCTTAGACAAGGCGACACACCAGGATTCTAGTCTGTCCTCCAAGTGTGCCGCTGATAATGAGCAATGTGTTCCCGGTGGCTGCGACTCGCTCAGGTGACCCGATGCCACATTAACAAAATGGGAAACCCACAAACTCCCCACACGTCAGTAAATAATGCAGGTGGCAATCGAGCCTTATGCCTCTGAGGGCCGTTTCATTGAAATTCACTGAGTCGACACTTTTCCCAGGAATTTCTGCCTCGTTCAGCATTGTTCCCGTGGAGGCTGCCAGTCCTTAAAGGCCCTTCCTGCGGCTGTCACCCTTTTCCAAACATGAATGATAAGCGATAAGGCTGGTTCTGGGAAAATGGCAATTTTGTCTGTACAGATGGCCACGTTTCTAGTCAGATCCAGGTCTGTGGGAGACGCCAGACGCCTGCCTTGCCTGAGAGCAGGTTTTGTCCCCAAACCCCCACCCCACGCGACTCTGCATCTGTCGACAGATGCTTACTCCTCTAAGGAGGCCAGTCACACGGATCGGGGCCCATCCCAACGCAGCAGGACCCCCGCTTAGCTTTGTAGATTTCCCGGGAAAGAGATTCGGGACCCTCCCAAACTGTTTTTGAGCACCTTTAGCAGGAGCAGGAATTACAGCTTTCCTGTCACTTTGGAGGGACCGTCCCAACATGCTTCAGCCCAGCGAGTCACTAGAAACGTCCCCGAGGTCCGGGCCACACGTGTCTCGTCAAGATGCCCGAGGTCCTTGCCATCGCCACATCACCGGGGTGGCGCTGGGCGTGTCCCGCACGACGCAGATGCTTCTGCACGTGCGACGGCCGCGGACAGCGGGACGCTTGGGCCTCGTCACACGTGGGCCAGTTCTGCCATCACCACATCACTGGGGTGGCGCTGGGCGTGTCCCGCACGATGCAGACGCTTCTGCACGTGTGACAGCCACGGACAGCGGGATGCTTGGGCCTCGTCACACGTGGGCCAGCGGGTCCGGAGGGCTGCACCGCGGGGCTCGGGCCGGTCACATGGGCGCACCCCCCGCACCCCCGTGCCCTCCCCTGCCATGCTATTCCCCCCACCCCCAACACGATCTGTGTGCCCCGCGGACCCTCCTCGATATCTGTGGGTCTCGAGGCCTCAGCAGGCGATGGGGTGTCACCTTGGGAGGGGAGCTATCCACGCAGAGGTGTCACAGAGCCCTCAAGTCCGGGGGGCGCCGGCTGGGTGGGCCTCAGGGGGGTGGGTCACAGAGACTCGAGAGCTCAGCGTTCCCAGCTGGTCTGTAGTCTGCACGGGCTTCCCGGTTCTGGGTCTCCCAATGCCACCCGTCACGCGTGGCTCTGCCACCGCTCTGCACAGGCCTGGTCATCAGCCTCGCCACCTGCTTCTCCAGCGACCGCAGTGGGTGACTGAACCCTAACTCCCCTGCAGCCGTGGGAACGGAGACCCCAGCTTCTGCGCAGCATCGCCTCCTAGGCGGAGGACACAGGCCGAGCAGCCCCGGACCCCACCCGCGCTGTCCACGACAGGCCCACAGCCTGTCCTGTCTACACTTCCCTCCCCTGAACGTCAAGGGGGCGGACGGCGCTGGGACTGGCCCCTGGCTGCTGGAGTGCACGCTTGTTTTTAAACGTCGGAGAGGCAGGCGTTTCACACCACGTGCTGGGTAAATGCAGGGCTGTGTTGGTCACCGTGTCAGTCACTGTCTGGGTCACTGCAGACCTCCTGGCCGTAGCTGTGAAGCATATAGCCATGTGAGCTCATCTGGGCCACTGTGGATGCTCGCTGGCTGCACCCCCACAGTGGGGTCTCTGACCGGCATGAGCTGAACCACAGGACAGTAACCATCTGTCCTGGAAACAGCCCAGGGGGCTGGCCACCCCCAAACCCGTCGCCCGCTGGCCTGTGGCTGTGCATCCGGCGGCTGTCTATGTCTAACTCGTGTCCTGACTCGGTGGCAGTGACAGATGCCATCTGTGGTCCTCCTTGCCCGGACGGCAGCTCCCGAGGGTGGAGGTGGGGGGAGGGTCTTGGAAGAAATGTTGAGGACGGCAGAGCCCCGGTTGTCGGCACGTGAAGTGCACTGACTATCGATCAGAGAAGCCTACTGAATTTCTGAAGAAATCATGTTGCCAAAGAAACCACGAGTGAGCTTAAAATGTCACTTCGCGATGCTTTGAAGGGGGACCACGCGAGCAGCTCGCCGGTTTGCAAAAGCACGTGTGCCGTTTTTTTAGCCAGCACGTCGGCATTTGAATGGGAAGCAAACATCATCCGTATCGGCCGCGTTCAGGGCACCACGCAGAATCCCCTGAACGTGTTCATCAAACTGCTATGCATAATTAATACGCTGTTCGTATTGCTATCCGTTTTCACGTGCATCTTGCAGACAATAGATGGGTCTAGCTGGTGCCTGGGTCACGTCTCACAGATTTACTGTTTAGTGTCTTCGCAGTTACGTGTTTCTAAATCATGGGGGTTTTAGTTATGATTTTCTCCTTAGCTTCAGAATTATTAAGAAGGCTGGGCTAACTGGGTATAGCTCATTTTTTTTTTCCCTGGGTCCTTTTATTTTTAATTTCTAATTTCATTACCTTATGGGAGGAAATACAGCATATATTGTCTTTACTTTCAGAAAGCGGTAAAGCTTTTCTTTGTGGCCAGACACGTCATTGATTTTTGGGCTGGGCTGGGTGGGGTGGGTCTCAGAATCACCTGCAGGCAGGAAGTAGGAGCTTTAAGAACCTTCAACCTTAAGCCACGTCTCAGCTGCTCAGCTCCAGACCACACATTCTAGGCCGATCCCTCGGTTAAGAACTAGGATGTCACATGGCTTCGGTGCCACCCTTCTGAAGCAAGAGCGGGGGGACCTACGAGAGTCCCGTAGCCACCTCCTTTCTACATGCTCCTTCTCGACACGGTCTCGAAGGCCAGTACCTGGATGCTGCCTGTGGAAGCCGGCACACCTGGGCATGCAGAGGTGCTGGCGTTCAGACGGGCCTGCCTATAAGCAGGACGAGGTCAGGGGAGCGGGTTCAAGCACTTATTCTGGGGTGCAGTGCACATCGGGGAAAGCAAGCCTCGGAGGAGGGATTTCTAGAACTCAAGGATGGCAGGAATGTCTTGGGACCCTCTGCCCAAGAGCGAAGAACAGCAAGGAGAGTTTCAGAGCTCAGAGGCGAAAGGGACTTACTTCTTCAGGGTGCCCGAGGCTGGCCCTGCCCCAGCCCCTTTCCCAAACATCGAGGCAGCACTGACTGCCAGCCACGTTTCCTGGACCGCGACACGCGATTGCTATTGTTCCCGTTATTCAGCGGAGGTGATGGTTCGTTTAAGTGAAAGACCGAGCCACGATGTCCTCAGGCCGCAAGCACAGTACGTCTCCGCTGCGCTCGAGGGTGAGTTTCGCCCACACTTGCGAGGACGGGGAGAAGGAAGCGTGAAAGGAAGCGGCAGTGGCCGTCGGAGACGCTGCGGTTAGGTCTCGAGGCTCAGATCCGCCCTGGACGCCTCAGGTCCACGCAGTCATTGTAAATCCCGAGTTTTCCATACGGAAACCCAGACGCTCTTTTAACTGTCTATTTCACGTTTTCCGTAGATCATTTTCTAAAATCGGATAACCCGGAGACTAATTTATTTGCTTGTCACTTTCCCGTTAGGAGGTTGAATCCATTTCTGTCTTCATTACCGGTACACAGTGGCGCGTCCCAAATCGCCTTCGCCCAAGTCCCACGCGGCCAAATGTACAGCATTTTAATAAGTTAGCTCTTTGCTCTGGGAGGAATTTATAATGAGTAAAATAAATCTTCTTATCTTGGAGGTAATGCCTCACTCGTACCAGCTCAGACACACACACACACACACACACACACACACAATGCCTCACTCGTACCAGCTCACACACACACACACACACACACACACACACACACACACACGGCCGTAAAGGGGAGGGTAGCTCGAATGTGAGACCAAAGTATGTCGTTTACATGCGGCCACACGATAAGCCGGGATTCTTTCTGGAAGAGTTCAATGCTGAGGTTGTTTGTGCATTAGATGATAAAAAGCGCCCTTCCTTCTGCACGCTCCGTAAACTGCCGACTTGTCGGAGGCTCCGTAACTAATGTGAGCCTCCCGGCCATCAGAAACAAAACGCCACTAAGTGGACAGAAAAGTCAATGATCGATTCCCTTTTAGGAAGACCATAGGACGCCTGTGTGGCACGAGTTGCTGACTTTGCCATCAAAAAACCACAGTCTGCAGTAACACTGGCCTGGGACCCTTCACGCCGGGAGCGGGGCCTGCCCTGGGCCTGATATTCTCACCTGTTCTGTTGGAAGAAACAACCCCTCCCCGCTTTATAGTCTGGAAGCTGAAGGCATCGATGAGCTCTGAGCTTCCGCATCTGTGGGAAAGTCTCAACGCGATCGCATGTAATGAGCTTAACTCTTTCCACAAAGGATTTGGGACACGCTTACTCAAATGCACGGCCACGCGTCCCTCTGTGCCTAGCATGCGGTGCTTGGCCGGGCAGGGTGCCTGAGGCCGTCTACTCTTATCACACAAGAAACAAAGGTCAAGGATGACAGAGTATGGGGACCACGCTGACGCGTGGACACGACTCGCGCACACTGTAATCTTAAGTGGGTGGCAATTTCCTGGGGCTTATGTTTGCTTTGAAGTGTGATAGCAGTTTCTACCGTGCAGACGTGACCAAAACGCACAGGGAGAAACACAGCCCCTGGTCGAACTCTAACGTACTTATTTCCGTAACACTGTCCCTATCTTAAATGATAGTTCGAAGGACACGTCTAGAACATAGCTCCTTGGTTAGCATCAATAAAAGGATATCGTACAAGAGGTGACCAATTCTCGGTTACTTTAGTTTACCAGAGAAGAGAAGGGGCAAATACAGGTGGAGAAATAGGAACGCCCACGACTGTAGCAGCAGCTTCAACATAAATGTCAACAGCGTCCACGTAAAGTTAGAGCCTCTCTGCCAGGATACGCGCAAATTATTGCGACTATAATACTACCAGCCTTCGTGTGTACGTGTAACGCTTACTCTCTGTCGCGACTCACTTTTCTGTAGGTCGGTGGCCTCAAGAAGGTATTGTGAGCAGAGTCCAGCCCCCAAACACAGTAGACAGCAGTAGTGAAGTTAGTGAAGCGACACAGCCATATGCCACATTCTTCAAAACGCCACAGCCAGGGATGGGAACGAGGGCAGTGTGGTCTTTCACGGACCCGCCTCCGGGTGACACCCCGACAGACACCTCTGACCGAAGGGCCCGAGTCCACCCTCTCGGCAGCAGTTTGCGGTGTAGATGACTGAGAAGGAAAATTGTAATCTGGAGAGGAAATTTCTAGAAATCTCATGAATATAGAACAGCCTACCAATGCCTTAAGGATTTTGGCAGACGCAGGAAACCAGTGAGGGGTCTTCATGTTGTCTTTCCCAGATGGGCAGAAAAAAAAACAGAGAGAGGGTGATGTCGACCACTTTCAAGGCATAATCAGACCAAAAGATGGTGCCCCCCACAGCCCACCCACCGCCACGGCCAAGTCACGAGTATCTTATCTTCTCTCTGTGATGACCGGAGGTGGGTTTAAGGATAGAGTTTGGACAATGTGGATGGAGGGACGAGGCTGAAACAGGAAACAAAGCTAAACTAAGCGGCTGACGGGAGACCCAGGATTTCATGCCGAATGAGAGAAATAAGGCCAGGGCCCACCTCCTGGCAGGGCAGTGCCTCAGAATCTAGGGGACCCGACAGACCAACGGTGGCCGCAAACAGGTGCGAAAGCAAAGCCCAGATGCTCCATCCTTCCTCTCAGAGGCTCAGAACGAAAGAGCAGACGAGGAGGGAGGATGGAGCCTCCGCCTCAAGCCTGAATGAGGGAGTAACCGGACACTCTGGGGAGAGGCTCGGAGAGGTTCAGCCGGGCCGCGCAGAGCGGCTCAGACCCAGCAGAAGCAGATGAACGGGAACCGCCAGGCCTGCGGAACAGAGTCGAAGGTTCTATCCGCAAAGACAGAGAAGCGACGACACAGGAGAGAAGTCTCCAAAATTCTGTATAAAAAGTTTATGAGAGGGTTTCGGGTCAAGATGCAGAGCAGGTGACCGCGGTGCCACCTCCCCCCACGACCACCTCAGTGTCGCAGTGAAACTGCAGAGCCGTCACTGAGACCCGCCTGGGGACACGCAGAAGAGGCCACCTCGAGACTGGCAGGAGGGCGGAGACACAGAACAGGTCCCACACCCATGTGTGGCGGTTAAAGGCAGAGGTCCCCCCAGGAGGAGTGAGGGGTCCCGGCCCCACACCAGGCTTCCCAGCTCAGGTTCCGGTGCCGGGAAGAGAAGTCCCCACAGCCTCTGCTGTGAAACCAGCAGGGATGGTGGCTGAGTGACACAGAGGGCGGCGGGAGTCACAGACTTTCCTCTTAAAGAAGCCGCGTGGACTCACCGCTGACGGGGACTCACTCGCTCTGATTCCAGCGCTGGGGACGCAGCTCGACAGGCGCCAGGGACACTCGGGGAGGGACTGAGATGTCTGCTTCAGGGCAAGGGCTGGAGGGGCGGCTTCTCTGGGACAGAAGTGCTGGCAGAGGCCACTGTCCCTCCGTTGGGCCCTCCTCCCACCCAGCCTGTACGCACGGCCGGCACCACATCGATTGTCCCTCAGCCTGGCGGATGCGCTCGCCCCC